TAAGGGTCTTCACAGATGTTCCGAAATTGCCGTGAAGTTTCAACAGACGTTCAGCTGACATGCGTGCACGCATGCCCTTTCGTAAAAGCACCACACAACTTCCGTAGAGGAAAAAACGGTTAATGTTTTTCGCAAGCAATGCTTGGTCGTCTGGGTCAAAAATTCTTTGAATTTTTCACAGATGTTCCGAAATCTCTGTGAATTTTTCACAGATGTTCCGAAATCTCTGTGAATTTTTCACAGGTTTTTTAAGGGTCTTCACAGATGTTCCGAAATGTCGAAATTGTGGCGAATAGTGGGTTCAGCTAGGAATATAACATTTATGGCTGCACTATGTAAAACTAGTAAAGAAGTATTATTGGGAAATCTGATGTATGACTTGAAGGCAGAATGTTCCAACACTTGCAAATCGATCAATTTCCGTTGATGTTTGGAACAGCCTGGAAAGATGGCGTGTGGTGCTTCATTTTTCTTCTTATCTGGCAGACTTCTCTTCTTCGTGTTCTTCGACTGTTCGTTCTTTTTCTTTTTCTTCGGTTCCTTATTTCCTGCTGCTGCTTGTTCTTTGATCTTCTTCTCTTCGAGAACATCCTTCTTATAATGCCATGAAAAAGTACTTTGTTGAAAAATCTTACAAGTTCGCCCTCGGGGCTTGTGTGAGAGATGTAACTAATGGACTTGCCGGCGGCGAACCTGGATCCTGCCAGGCAATGATGGAGGTAGCAACAGAGATTGCAAACCAAGCATAGGCTCTTAACACTGCAGCTTTGTCATTGACTGGGACAGTGGATTGCACTTCGGCGTCAAGAGAGTTCCAACCATCCAAGACCCGGTTGTAAAATAACTTCATTGGAACCATGGCTTTCATAGCGTCCAACCTTCTGTTGGATTCTTCGTCATCAGCTCTCTGGAGTTGGAAGATCTCCGTGGCGTTTGTCTCGGCTGGATCAAACATATGGTATTTCGTTAAAAACAACCGTCCGTAATATGGGAGCTTTCGAAACTCTTTAGTTCCACAGGAAATGAAGGCTGAGCGTTGATCGCTATTGGAGGCATAAGCCATATGAGGAAAGCCCATTTCACTCTGCTGGCCAGGGCAATGAGATAGAATAAATGCGTTCTCTTAGAAACCCGCCCACCAGCTTCATCTGCCTTGTTCTTGTCGTTGTAACATGACGAACAAAACCACGAGAGCACCTCCTGGTCATCGTCCGAACACTTCTTGCAGAAGTGGATATTGACCAGCTGCTGACCAGACGTTATGGACAGCAGCGACCTCCCATTCCGTTGGCAAGTTCCTTTGCAAACTGAATCGGGAAGAAGTCTGCCCAAAGAAGTATTATTGGGAAATCTGATGTATGACTTGAAGGCAGAATGTTCCAACACTTGCAAATCGATCAATTTCCGTTGATGTTTGGAACAGCCTGGAAAGATGGCGTGTGGTGCTTCATTTTTCTTCTTATCTGGCAGACTTCTCTTCTTCGTGTTCTTCGACTGTTCGTTCTTTTTCTTTTTCTTCGGTTCCTTATTTCCTGCTGCTGCTTGTTCTTTGATCTTCTTCTCTTCGAGAACATCCTTCTTATAATGCCATGAAAAAGTACTTTGTTGAAAAATCTTACAAGTTCGCCCTCGGGGCTTGTGTGAGAGATGTAACTAATGGACTTGCCGGCGGCGAACCTGGATCCTGCCAGGCAATGATGGAGGTAGCAACAGAGATTGCAAACCAAGCATCGGCGCCCAGCACCGACTCTGATACGAATGATGACGACGCTTTCATACAAGTACGATCTCAAGCAAATTACAAGTCCCACAAAGATGAAGCAACCGCAATGAGGAGACTTGAAGAATCCGAATTCATGTCTGGTCTAGTCGTTGACGATCATCTTTATTTGGTTATTAAGACAGGGGGTATGAATACTTATTTCGAGTTTCATTTGGAGGTCTGCGGAGCACAGTACTTTTCTTACACGACCGTGGCATCCAGTGGTTTGGAATCGTCTCGATTCAAATCATGCTCAGAGCACTTTTTGCTCCTTCCATTGCTGAATAATGACGGAAGCGTTCCCAAAGGTAAAGGGAGGGATGGTGAACGCAATTTCTTCTATGTGATAACGTCCGGGTGGCGAGAGATTTCAAGATCTGATAGAGCCGGATTTGTGCTGCGATTACCAACTATTCCGGGAGCAACCTACTAACAAAATAACAATATAACAAGATTTTATATTTGCCTTTGCATAAATCGTCCTTGTATATAGACTTCCGTGGGTGGCATTCATGACTGCCTCGTGTGCTGGTGCTGTCAAAATTGAGTGCTCGTGTTCCGGACAATTTCAACGCACTCAACAAAATATATAATACGAGATGCAATCGGTTTCATCGTCCCACATTGTCTAGTCTAGTCTCTTGGGGACACGCGTTCTCTTAGAAACCCGCCCACCAGCTTCATCTGCCTTGTTCTTGTCGTTGTAACATGACGAACAAAACCACGAGAGCACCTCCTGGTCATCGTCCGAACACTTCTTGCAGAAGTGGATATTGACCAGCTGCTGACCAGACGTTATGGACAGCAGCGACCTCCCATTCCGTTGGCAAGTTCCTTTGCAAACTGAATCGGGAAGAAGTCTGCCCAAAGAAGTATTATTGGGAAATCTGATGTATGACTTGAAGGCAGAATGTTCCAACACTTGCAAATCGATCAATTTCCGTTGATGTTTGGAACAGCCTGGAAAGATGGCGTGTGGTGCTTCATTTTTCTTCTTATCTGGCAGACTTCTCTTCTTCGTGTTCTTCGACTGTTCGTTCTTTTTCTTTTTCTTCGGTTCCTTATTTCCTGCTGCTGCTTGTTCTTTGATCTTCTTCTCTTCGAGAACATCCTTCTTATAATGCCATGAAAAAGTACTTTGTTGAAAAATCTTACAAGTTCGCCCTCGGGGCTTGTGTGAGAGATGTAACTAATGGACTTGCCGGCGGCGAACCTGGATCCTGCCAGGCAATGATGGAGGTAG